ATGAGTAGAGTAGCCGGGCTTTCAAAGCAAGCGTGTAAAGTTAGCTATTACTGACTAGCATCTTTGCGCTTTGCATCACAGCATTTTTCCAGCAGAATTTCAAAAGCGGCATTATTTGAGTTTTGTGTTTTCATTGTTCATTTTGTGATCTCACAATGGTGAACAAAATCGACAACACAGGCGGCATACACACACACATGCACATGTACCCTGTACACAATCAAGATGATAATTGTTGGCAATTAATTGACAACAAAAACAACAAGCGACAAAAACAAATAACATGAAAGTAATTGGTTAAAACGCTCGTATCAAGATAGATTACCGGTAATTGATAGAAGAACAAATATTGCTTTTGTTGTTGTTGATTTTTTGCGGATTTCAACGAATTGATTGCACCCGAGGTGATTCAAATCAATGTAATTCGAGGAAATCATTCGATCATCGGGTGAAAGCCATTCAAATTAGAATGTCATTATTATTTAAAATATTTTCGGAGAAATAATTACAAACCAAATTTGAAAATCGTTATTTTAGTTTTCAAATGCAACTTTGTAATTGTAATGACTCAATTGGGGTCTCTTGGAGAAAATTTGAACAATATTGCAAAATTCGAAATATTTTTCCAAATACAGTATGATATATGTCTCAAAGACTTCTTACAAAAATTCAGCCTCAGGTTTTAAGATATCTGATGTAAGTTCCAGATTTGGAAGATGTACGCAAGAGAACTATCATCATTATGGTTAGCGAGGTTCCAATAATACGACTCGAAGTCGAAGTCGAAAACGTAATTTTCTATCTCTCTCAAACAAATATTGGAATAGGATGATATTCAGTAAAAAGCAGCAAGAAACAGCTGTTCGTTAAATTTAAGGCTGTTGAAGAAAACCGAAACAATTTTTATTGTGAGAAAAATTTGTGATCAGCTTATGGTGCTAGGCATATTTCAGATTTGCTCCTTTTCACTCGGGAGCGAAGCTTACCCGCCGGCAGAGGCTTACTTGCTCGAAGAGTGGGTATTTTAAAGGAAGTCTTCACTCGTTTGTTTTTGTGAAAGCTCTCCCGGGTCACTCCTCTCTGAAAAATTAGTGTGGGAGCAGAATCTCTGAAAATAGAGCAATATCGCAGTTCTAAGGGAAAAAAAAAATAATTTTGTTTGCTGATTTGTGTGTGTGCACAACAATGAATATGCCTTAATGTTGCTGTGTACGAGAGAGAGAGAGAGAGCAAAACCTCGTTTTGTTACAGTTCCGTTTTGATCAGTTATGTGTTACTTCAGTTTTGAGTTTACAAACAAGAGAGAGAGAGAGAGAGAGGGAGGGAGGGAGAGAGTGAGTCGAATACAAAAACGGTGTGACAAAAATTAAAAAAGTGATCGGTAAGAGTAGAATCTAGTCGCTTTTGAACGAATTTACTCCCACTCCTATATGAGGGATATCGGCAAATTGAGCGCTTAGGAGTGCTCCCGCTCGAATTCGAATGAGTACAAATTAAAACTCAAATATGAACTTAGTTTATACAACAGAATAAGTTAGTTTTTTGCGAAACAGAGATAGATAGAGAGAAAGCGTTTTTGTTACAGTTCCGCTTTTGATAAGGTAAGTTTTACTTCATTTTTATAAATATTTTTTTCGTCTGTTGAGAGAGAGAGAGAGACGAATGTTGTTAGCAAAACACAATCGAGTGCATTTTTGCACATTAATGTTCGAATGGATGTAAGAGAGAATTTGTCAAACAAGAGAGGTACAATGAGAACAATTAGTGGTTAAGGAGGAATAAAAGGGAACGTAATATTGCAATATATGAAAAGCTTCCATATTTTCTAAAACTTTGTGGCTTGAGCATGATTATTAAAAGCGTTTACCTTTACGTAAACAATATAGAAAAAAATAAAATAAATAGAAAAATAAATAAATAATATAGATTCTCCTTGTTTATGCCTCTATCGATGCGACTTTTATAAAATTATTTATAAGTTTTTTTATTAAGCATATCTCAACCAATTCAGATGCAAAAAGTAAAAAAATAGGTGAGCTACACAGTTTACAGATAATTATCTTCCACACCGTTACAACAACAACAACACCAAAAATGAGTACTTTGACTTCTCAACCATTCTCTCTTATTAAATACATTTGAATTTAATGAAGAAGAATCCTGAGCATGAACACTTCAATAAATGACTCTATACCTAACTCGGAGTGCGGCAATGTTTTTTGCCTTGTAATTTTGTAAGCCCCTGAAAAATTGCCCTTGTATGTGTTAATGTTAATGCTTGTGTGCGTTTTATTACAACGTAGGTGTCAAACCAACAAAATATTTCTAATGTAAATTAACCAAAGTTGGGCAGACCTTGAAAGCTGTTTACATTTGTAAAAGGCAAGTCTATGGGTGTGTGTGTCTGTGTGCGTCTGTTTGTATTTTTGTGTATTTTTCGTTTGGTAACCTTGGTTTTTGATTAGATTTCTTTCTTGACACAACACCAACAACAACAACTACTACAACCACAGAGACATTTTTATGAGCCTCCACTTGGGTTACAGTGCGTCTACCCTCTTTACAATCTTAATGGCCAGGCTAACTGGTTACGCTGGTACCTTTAAGTGTTATAGGCATTTTGGGGTTTTTGATGTTTGTGTTCCTCCCCACTCCCCAGAGCGACTCCTCTCTCTGTCGCCCTCTCCGTTACTTTGATTTAGTTTCTACTCACGAGTTTTGGATATTTCTATTCTGTCGACTGAATCAATGATATTGTGTGTGTGTTTGTATGTGTACACGTTTAGCTGTTTGTTACATCAATATAATAACCAAAAAGTTGATGGTTGGTGACGAAATATCAAAAAAAAAAAAAAAAATGTTAAAGTTGTTACAACACTTCACATTAACGCATAAACGTGAAATTCTTTTGTATTCTCCGGTGACTGACTGTTGGGCATCATAAAAAATTCAAATAAAATGAGAATAAACTAAGCACGTGAGTTCAAACTGCTGCGTGTTGCTTTGGGAAAGGCAAAAATGTGTGAGGGTGTGTAATGGATAGAGTATCACAGAAGGAAGACGAAGAACATAAAAAAGTTTACATTTATTTTGGAAGACTGAAAATAGAGAGATGGTATTCAATTTGTTTAAAACTTAAAGACACGTGCAAGTGAACACAAAGGCCATTAAGATATACAAAATTTCAAAATCTAAAAGATAGGAAACGAAATTTTTAAATTTTTGGTATTTTTATAAAATAGTTATTTTTATAAAATAAAGTTAATAAAATATCAATAATAATAATAATATTAATAATAATAATAATAATAATAATAATAATAATAATAATAATAATAATAATAATAATAATAATAATAATAATAATAATAATAATAATAATAATAATAATAATAATAATAATAATAATATAATAATAATAATAATAATAATAATAATAATAATAATAATATAATAATAATAATAATAATAATAATAATAATAATAATAATAATAATAATAATAATAATAATAATAATAATAATAATAATAATAATAATAATAATAATAATAATAATAATAATAATAATAATAATAATAATAATAATAATAATAATAATAATAATAATAATAATAATAATAATAATAATAATAATAATAATAATAATAATAATAATAATAATAATAATAATAATAATAATAATAATAATAATAATAATAATAATAATAATAATAATATAATAATAATAATAATAATAATAATAATAATAATAATAATAATAATAATAATAATAATAATAATAATAATAATAATAATAATAATAATAATAATAATAATAATAATAATAATAATAATAATAATAATAATAATAATAATAATAATAATAATAATAATAATAATAATAATAATAATAATAATAATAATAATAATAATAATAATAATAATAATAATAATAATATACATATGTTTAATTTTTTATTTATGAGTCTAATTTTCTTGCAAATTTATAATTCAAACTGATTGCGGAAACTATTTTTATCCTTAATTTTCAGAAAAAAAACACTTGTATTGCTTCTTATGTAACTAAATATTACCCCAAAATTTTTTCATTAAAATCTATAAATAATTTGCATAGAAATTCGAATTCCACATATGAGTCATAATCATAATTATTCATAGCACGTTCTGATAGGCAATCGGCCAATGTAAATATTATCCACTGATCAAAAAAAAAATATTTGTTCTCATACATATTTACAATGTCTCACCAAAAAAAAGACGCATAAAATGTAGCTACAAAATAATTTTGTGCGGTTACAAAAACAACATATCCTTCACCTTAATTTTTAATAAAACAATTTATCAAAACAAATAACATTTTCAGATGAAATTTTAAATGCGGCAACAGAAATGTTGGATGTTCTATTTTCGTCAATATCGGCAAGAACGTTTGTAAAGATATATGGGCACAATGTGTGCAGGTGTGCGTGTGTGTGGTTGTGCGTTTATATGAAATTCATGGCCCGTGTGGCGGCGTTTGTACGCACTGCTTTTAATTTTCATAGAACTATGTTAAGATGCAAAATGATTTATAGTCGGTCCCAAACGAATATTTACAATGTATGCACATATCTATAATGCGGACATTACGCCCATTCATTCAGTCACTCATTCAGACAGAAAGGCGGACAGACAAACGGAGCGACAGACAGTTGGGCAGTCTGTTGTTATTCACGAACGAACGCTAACCAAAATGTGGCATTAATTTTGTAATAGATGGTAGCTTTGATATTCTGTGAATAAATTTTGAAAAGCCGAAAGAAATTGGTGCATGACCGAAAAATTGAAACAGCCCAAGGCGGCCATCCGCAAGAGAAGAAGGCATTGTAGCTTCAATGCATTTTAAAATGCAATTCTATTTCGATGAAACGCATATTTAACTTAGACCCCGGAGGCAAATTGGAAGATGATATTATTCAAATATGCTCACATGCTGGCCATTGAGGTCATTTAGACTTACCCTCTTTTTGCGCGGTGCATCCTCTTTGAAATCCATAACGATACCCTCATCGGACGTTGAGACTGATGTGGTGCGTATTCGGGCACTGGCCGAGGCATCATTTGTGATAACGCCCATATTGTGACCATCGTCACTTAGGGGCGGCGATGAAGATCCCGAACTCCATGAGGCCGATGAACTACCTGGACTGGAACCCCATTTATCTGCAAGAAAAAAAAAATGAAAGGAAATAAACGAGAGAAACAAGAGACAATAATAATAAAAATATTTTTGAGTGTAATTCTTTGCCCATATAGATGGAGGAATTAGGGGTAAATAATCAAATGGTCAAACAGTCTAAAGGCGTTAAATCGCACTATATAGTCGCCCAATTTACCGATCTTGGACCAGAAATAGGCCTCCTAGTAGGCCATTGTTACGGGTGCTGTTTGGCATATGTTGACAAGTCAAGCTCTTGCTTTTTGTTCAAAAAGGTTGAATATCATCTCAGGGTAACGCTAAGCATTCACAGTTATGTTACGATTCTTTGAAGGAGTACGGTCCACTGATGCCACCAGCCCATAAACCGCACCAAACGGTGACTTTTTCTGAATGCATTGGGAGCTTTTGCAATGCTTCTGGCCGATCTTCACTCAAAATTGACAATTTTGGCTTTATATACCCATTGAGCCAATAATGAGTTCGTCGTCAAATAGAAGAAGCGCGCGATAAACTTTCTGAATAAAGCACGCTTTTGTTCGTTTGTACAACGATTAATGGTTATACTACTACTACTCCCCCTCTTCATACTGGATCTAAAATTCAAAATCATTTCGCATTTTATGGAAATATTGACCCTTTTGGGGGATGTATAAGAAGGAGCTGGCTTAGGGTAATACAAATAGTGTTTGAAACAGGTTTGAAAACCGACCTCTTTTTGACCAGATCCTTTTATATACCGTTCATACATTTTTAAAGTGCTTATATGCACATTTCCTATCGAACCCACCGCATACACAAACTTCAAAAACTTTCAAATATAAATGGTTTATTATTAATGTGTCATTCCGTGTAATAACAACAATTCATCATGACAGCTAATTTTGAAATAAATCACGATGACAAACAAAAGAAAGATTCCCATACATCACGGCATGATGATAATGAAGTCATAGCGTTAGTTGGGAATATTTGAAATGTGAATTCAGAATTTGAAAAAAAAAAAATGCAAAACCTAACTCATCAAATCGAAATTTTTGAAAAAAAAAAAAAAAAAAAAAAAATAAAAGTTGCGAAAAATACAAAAATTGAAAATTAGCTGATATTTGTATATTAACAGTTATTTAATAAGAAGAAAATATATGCTCTAATTGCTACCAAGGCCTCTGTTAGGTTAATCAGTGAGCCCATCTGATAAATAAATTTGCTGTGAAAAGTTAATGAGATTTCTACTACTAAGTTTATTGTCAAAAGTAGATTTTTGACCGACCTTATGTAGGCCTCGTAGCTAAATATCAGTTAGCTCAGAATAGCTCCTTTTTGTTCGAGCCAAGGTCTATTTATAAATTTCTCCTCATCAATACTAGCTGATTACCAGAATAGTTAAAAAAAATCTTAAGCGTATATATTTTGACAATAGTTGACAATAAGTTCTACCAATACATACTGATGTTTTCAACATTAATTTTTTAACATCACAATTTTTGGGTTTCAAAGTTATCGATTTTTTTTTTATCCCACAACTGATCTGAAATACTTTTAAGATATCAACATTTTTGAATAGTTTTCAAAACAATTAAATACAATCAATTTTGGCCACAAGGCATCTGGTGAACGGGAAATCAAGATGGCTCTTCGAAACATATTTTTTTTTTAAATTTTGTTGACGATTTATCACAACGATTTTTTGACAATCTTACGATTTGATATAATTAATACCTAATATCCCTTTTCGTATGAATGATGTTTCACAAAACCAAAATTATTTAAAAATGTGAATTATTCACAAGATTTAAAAATAATAGAAACCCTGATACACTCTTTACTTTACTTTCAATGTCTGTGGCATAATTGCTGATGATTTCATGTCACTGCCAATTGATAATTGTTTTTTCCTTCTTTCCTCCTTCTTCTTCTTGTCGTTCATTTACGGTTGCTATGTTCGTTTTCTGTTTTCTGTTTTCTTTGCGACGCTGTAAATCCAAATCACATTACTCGGTTAATGACCAATACTTACCTCCATTTTTGGGTGACTTTGGACAAGATGACAGTGTAACCAAAATCATGGCCGCATTATTTTCATTCATTTCCTCTTCGTCGTATTGATCGCCGCCACCATTGCATTCCGTTGCACACGACGGTGGACGTTTGCGTGAACTGGAAAGAAACAGAGAAAGAAAACGAATTAGCAACAATTAAAATAAATTTGTTAGGAGGTAATACAAAAAAAAAAAAAAAAAAGAGAAAAGAAAATTGCAAAACAAGCTGCCAAACAAATTGCATAACCCGAAAGCCACTAAATAATGTTCAGAAATGAGATTTCTTTTTTTTTTCGTTTTGTTTTTCTTTTGTTTTGCTTTTCAAGATATTTTTGTAATTAAAATGTGACCTTGAAAAGCCAAAGACTTGTCAAGAATAGCAACAATACTGCTGGCGTCATAACAATATGGCAGCGAATGGTAAGGTGATCATTTCATTTCATCTCAACTCAACTCAATTAATGCTGCTGCCTGCAATTGCCTTCACCTTCTCCTCCCACAACCACAGCCACTGCTAGACACATTGACACTTGATGAATGGTAACATGGCCAAGCTAAAGATGTCATGGCATACAATAACAACAACAACATTTAGGGAACATGTCGTCTTGCTAAAGCCAACGGAAGAAAAACATTTGTTTTTCAAATGATTTCCTGAAAAATGATTTTTTTTGTTTTACTTTTCCGACGAATTCAAATATCAGCTCATAAATTTTGTCATTGAGAGCATTTGTTCCAATCGACGTTCTAACATTCGAAATTTATTCATTAATTCTCAGAGCAATACCTACCAGACCCGGTGTCTCTAAGGCTATTTATTTGTTATTTGTTTTTGTTCGTTCTATTAATCCCTTGGGCCACAAAAAAAAAAAAAAAAAAAAAAAAAGAGACAGCCAATAGATTCCACTTCCAAGAAAATTGAAAAAACCAACAACCAAACAATGGGTCTCTGTGACACGCAAGCTGTTGGTATTTCAAAGGAAAAATGCCGACTCAATGTCATTACGTAGGAAAGCCGGCAAAACACACACATACACACACATAAAACGAACACCCATAATGGTGAAAAGTTGATGCTTCTCGATCATACGTTTTGTTATTTTCATGGGAAATTCCAGAAAAGTAAACACAAACACACTCACACACAAATCAACAATTAGATGTAATTTAACAACAGATGTGTGTTTATTTTTCGTAAAAGGTTTCCATTTTTATTAAAAATATCTAAAAATTATTTTGAATCCAAAACATTATTGTGGGTGTGTTTAATTTATTTGCAGGTTGTTGTTCCTACTCACTGACCTTCCGCAAATGTGTGTTTGAGTCATTTTCGCAAAAAAAAAAAAAGAGCAGAGAGGAACAAATACAAACAAACACAATGAAATACACAAATAAAAACAAAATGTTCTGAAAACAACCACAAATCTAAATTGAAATCTACCAAGAAGCCGCCATGACAGCCACAGAGTCGAAGTGGCATGAAAGCTTGCAGAACGATATTTGTGACGAGGAAATATAGTCGGGTTGAGTTTTGGGCAACGGGGTTTGTTGCAAATTTTTGTAAAACTGGCGGAATTGGAAAAATGGAATAAAGATCAGATCTATTCAGGGTGAGATAAAAAAACCGCAAAAAAGTCATACGACATAAGTTTTAATTTTTTTTTTAAATTTTATGAATGAAAGCAAAAATTGTCGGAAATAACATCAATTTTAGAATAGGTTTAGATTTGTTCGAATTGGTCATCTTTGGCCTTCAAACGGCCAATGAAACGGTCACACGCTGCCCGAATGTTGCTCTGCGGTATTTTGGAACATTCCCGTCGGAACGCTTCAGGTGATCGACACTTTGGTATTTTTTAGTGCCAACCTTGCATTCCAAAATACTCCAGGCACAATAGTACAACGGATTGGTATCCGGAAATTTTGGGGGCCATTGTGCGCTGGAAATGAAGCATGGAAACTCATTTTGTAACCATTCCTGTTGGAATGTCCAAGGTCTGCGGCCAAAATGTTTGCGTGCCCAAGGCTTCGAAACAACCTCCATAATATTTTCGAGATAATATTCGGCATTTATTCTGATGCCTCGGTCCGTGGCCGGCGCTTGAGTTCTGGTGGCCAACCGAAGGTGCACATTTCAGCTGACCTCTTAGGCAAATAAAAACGATCATTTTGTTTGTTTAAAAATTGCTGGACAACGAATGTTTTCTCATCGGAGAAAACCAAATTCGGCAGCCACTACTTTCAGCCAAGCGAAGCATTCTTTAGCTCTTTTGAGTCTATTTTCTTTCTGTTGCGGTGTAAGTTCTTGCACTTTTTGGAATTTCAATGGCTTTACCCCGAGCTCATTTTTCAATATTTGCCGAATGGAATATTGCGATATGTTCAGCTCACGAGCCATTTTTCGGAAACTGTGATGCGGGTTTCGATGAAGACGCTTCTTTACTTTTCGAACCATTTCTGCTGATTTTACTGCTGTCTTCCGTCCCCTTCCTTGACGTCGGGCTACGCTACCAGTATCGCGGTAACGAGCCATGGTACGAGACACAAAATGTTTATTCACACTTAAATGCTGGGGTGGTCTAACGATAGCCACTTGTGGTTTTCCAGCCACATATAAAGAAATCACACTATCACGCTTGAATTCCATCACGAATAACTTTTCTTCTGGGAAATTTTCACCAAAATGCTTTTGTACGCCTGTAAACAGTATAATAAGCTGTCACTGGAATAATTTTAACAGCTGTCGGACGAGTGGCTTAGAAATGAAATGAGCAGTCTGAAGTTGGTACCAGTTTTTTCATCTCACCCTGTATATAGATTTTCCGTGAAAATGAAAATAAGGCATTTAAAAAATGAAATTTGAATCATTGTCACTAAAAGTCGAATAAATAAGTACTTATTTACCGACTTGGGCAACTTATAATGTTTAGTTAAATTCTCATTTATCGAATTGTTGATGCCAAGAAATTACTCGTTCAGTGCGACAAGTCCCTAATAAGATAATGGGTTGGTAGTCAGATTTGTAATGAGAATTGTTGACAGAAGTAAAAATAGTTAGAAGTTGTATAGCTATCTAATAATGACCAATAATGGCAAGAAGGTCAAAAGATATTTTTTGGTCCCATAGAATTTGTTGCATTATAGCATTACATGTTACAAATGTATCAAACATTAAGTTCTATCAATGCCAATTCCATTTTTAAAGTTCTGTTTAAAAATAGGTCATACTCTTTTTTTAATTAAGAGCTTTAAGCCCTCCGGCGTTTCTCCAGATTTCCAAATCGCACTTTCCAACTCAAATTTGTGTAAATTTCCGTTTGTTGTTTGCGAATTCGCCGTCACAAATCACACCCTCACACACACTCGTCGTCATCAACTGAATTTGCAAAGTTATTTTGTTTTTGACAAACTGTTGCTAAGCAGGGTTTGGCATTTTGGAAAAATAAGCAACTAGCAGCCATCTAGGCAGCAAGCCGTTAGGCCAAACCGACAGCCAACCGGCCGGCCTCAATTGAATAACTCTTTGTGTGTTTTTATTTTTGTTTTTTTTTTTGGGTTTCGGCATTTATTTCGCTTGTATATTCTAACATGTATTATTTTCATTTTTGTTGCTGCGGTGTTCTACTGTGTGATGACGTTACACTGACATTTACTGACGTACTCTCCTAATGCTTGGTGTGCGCTTGAGTAGTTTATTTATATATCTACAAACCTACAGCTACATACATACATATGTATGTTTGTAGTTTGTGGTATTGTCAGCGAAATTGGGGGATGGCTGGGTTGGGTTTTCAATGCCATCACCAATACCACCGTGTGTTTTACGTTGTATTGTTTTTGTTGTTCTATACTACATCCAGTAGAGGGTTGGGGGCACAGCCTTGTCCATGTTGGTGAATCAAAGGTATGTGGCGGCGGCATGGAGGTGAGTACGTCATAATAACCATTTCATATTCATTTACTCGTTCATTCTGTTGCTCGCACTGAGGATGATGATGACGGTGGAGGTGGAGGTAGTGATGGTGGTGCTGGCGATGAAACCTTTCAAATGTTTACAAATAAAAATAACAACAACAATACCTTTTGGAGAGTGTTCATTTCATTAGAGTATTGTTTCCATGTGTTGTTGTTGTTGCTGCTGCTGTTAGAGAACATGGCAAATAAAAAAAAGAGTTGCTGGATGATGATGACGACGATGATGGTGATTCATTCAATTCCTTGGTTATTTATTTATTTAGAATCGTTGTTGTTGTTGTTGTTGTTGTTTCTTTTTGCAATTCATTTGAATGCTCCATTTTTTGTGTTGGTTTTGTTACAGCGGAATTTTATGTTCGTGATAAATTCCACAGATACCATTGTTTCGAGGCAAGATATAACCTTGCATGTATTGTTTTTCTGTTGTCGTTAGAAGTTGGGAAATTCTTCCCCTATTGTGTGTCGCTGTTTGTGTGTGTGTGTCAGAGCTTTATTTGCAAAAATGTAAACTTGTTTTGCTTGAATTGTGCTGGGTATCCCCATAAACATTTTGGCTCAAAGGCCTGGCTGCGTATACTTAACATAAGGTCCAATTACATTTTGTTAAGTATACGCCAGCAAGACCAGCGGGCCAACCAGCCACCAATCTGTCCATAACCTTGACATAACCTTCTTCAGTAGATGTATGTACAACCTCTCCCTCTCTCTCCCCAACGAAACACATTCATCAACAACCTGCGCACTGCCTTCTCCAGCAGCGTCTGTATTTGCCATTATTTGTGTCTTCCAGCAATTGTAGATAAGCCATAAATTTATTCCAGCTTTAACAACTCCAAATACAAAGAATGGAAGTATTGTCTGTAAGTCTGTGTGCGATTTTTTTGAGAAAGTTCAACATCCCTTCAGGCTTTATGTTCAGCAAGAAGTATTTTTATATTGACGCGTCGTCGTCTGATACTTGCCCAGGATGAAGACGCAAAAAAGGGAAGAGAAAGAAAAAAAAGCAAAGACCGACAACATCAATTCTATGCTCTCAATTCAGTTAATATTCATTATTGCCTCAGCCAATCGCATTTCATAGTTAGTCCTTTGTGTTGTTGTTGTGTATCCTTAAAGCATTCAAAGGAAAACGGTTGTAGCAGA